GATCGAAAGTTACCAATTCTCGCAATTATTGAACACATTTGTAACAAGCCACTATGATATTTTCATGACCAACGTGAGGAATCACAAAGTTGCACAAGTACACTAACCTCAGCTCAGAAAGATAAACTCTTCAAGACTCTAGAGATGAAGAGAAAGGCTTGTGTGGAACCACTGGATCAGTTTCGTTTCTCCGTGAGATATGGATATAATATTCAATACATCATGAACTTGAATGATAACACGGAAAATTTCAATTTAAGAGTTTTTCATGTACACATGCAGTAGCAGTGACTATATATAGAGGATTTTCACCTCAAATCTTATGCAGTTTTATTACATAACTGATTATTGGAGAGCAACGTATGTCGAAAAGATATTTTCTGTGCCAAATGAAGTCGAGTGGAAAGTTCTCAACCACATTCTCCCACTTAATAATTTGTTGCCACCCGAAGTCGGACTACGTATTCTTAGACGTAGATGTATGTTTAGAATACCATCTATCGAAAATAATTTCAATCTCGTAAGTGCGATAGGTGTGGCACAACGGGTCATACTCGTCGATTTTGTACAAATCAGATTCATCTTCATAACAATTCAATGAATGTGTAATGTAACACCTCGAATTTTTATTTACTATTTTCACATAGGCCTAAATTTAACGTAGGTTATTTAGCAAGTAGAATAGTCCATTATTTAATAAAATTTAATTTTTATTTATTATTTTCACATTCTATCCCTCATTTAATAGTTTTTTGTGTTCAAATATTTGACATCCTATGTTATATTTAAAATGATGATTTGAAATCATAGTATTTTTAAGCAATTCGTTTGTCTATACAATCAAGTTTATTGTCATAAAAAATAAAATAATAAGAATATTTTTAACTGCTTGTTTGCTTATACAGTTAAATATGTTCAGAATCACATATACAATTGTTACACTACAACACAAATTATAATGAAGTCAATAATATTTACATTTTTTAATAAAACAATACACAACATACTAAGAATCTCAGTTGTATGCATACAAATCGCAAGCTAAATTCAACATCAAAATATCTATCCAAGATTAGTTTATTGTATTAACCTTGTGACCAATACTAAAAACTCTACATACCTAATTGCGAATATAACACAATCGTCTCTGCAAGTAAATAATAATATATTAATTCGATAACATATAGCTAAAAAGTAAGTTTTCAAATTAAAAATGTGTAAATCCTTACGATACTCCTTGTCTCGCTGTCTTCATATCCTGTACAATAACTAATCTATCATTTACTCGAATCATCGCATGTCTAACTGTCATGGAAATTATCACAATTATCGGCTCTAGTATTTGCTCTAATTGATCATGTATCAGATAGCTATGATCTAAGTCGTACATATAGATAGTGGAATCAGGGAATGCGAATCTCAAATACAAAGCAGTGTGAGTTCACAATCATTGGAATGTACATATGTATTCAATCCGTCCATGACTTTCCGTATGTCGGCTCTAATCCAATGACTCACTCGAGCATGTACTCAGGCCCACATATTCATTCCATTGGAGTAGGAGTGTACTATGCTCAATGTCAATGGCACGTGCAAACTCGGAGCTCAGGATAACTCTGCCAATAATGTCAAAAGATCTCGAGTGTCTCCGAGCCCGATCAGGCAACATTTCCATGGTCATGTCGACATGTTGAAGCAAAAAATCAATGAAAAGAGAGATGGTCGTTTGATGAAGTAAAATAATAAATTATTTAAAATATAATAAATAACAATGAGAATACACTTACATCATCGATGAGCCAAGTTGACTTCGTCAGTATATCTTCAAATCACTTTTTAGCATTCGAAATTATTTTCTCCCCAATATTGTAGCTATCTCTGAAAAAATGAAATGTTACAAAATCATGGATGATCTCATATGTACTTTAGCAAAATCATAAAATACTTACTTGTGCTTAAGGGATTTGAACCATTCACAAATGCCTTGTGCTTAACAGGTCAACCTCGCGAAAGAGATTAGGAAACGTCCCATCCCGACCATCCTTCTCTTCGCTTCAGCCGGAAAGGGGAAAACAATGTACTGTTATGGCAATCTCGATCTTTTACCGACCTTCAGTAGCACGCTTTTTAACCTTCCTCACCTTCGTCGCCCTTTCCGACACAAAAACTACATTTTCCATTGTGTTTGACGTCTTCTCGTCCTCCACCACATCTCCCTTCTGTATCCCCTCTATTAAATCCCTTACTACTATCCCTCTAGTACCTCCACTGCCACCTCCTCGGGTACCCCCTTTACCTCATCCTTCTCTTTCGATACTATCTCCGCCGCCTCCTCTAGTACTCCCTCCACCACCACATCCCGTACCATTAAGGCCACACCTTCCGACATGTATGCAAAAGATGACTTGAATGCAGTATCTGATAGCCATGACGAATCATCATACCCCATTTAACCATCTCCTCAATCACTTCCTCGCCCCTGAAAACCACCAATCCCTCCATCACCCCTCCATCCAAAGAGCCATCAGTCCTTTGTAGGCCTGCTATGTCACCTCGTAGCGCTACGATATCAGTATGAAGTACTCCTAAATCAACTCATAACATCATGATATCATGCTATAACTCCGCTACTTCGCCTCTAATCTCCCTCATGAATGTAGTCAAAAGGTCGAACAAATCATCGATGGAAGCACTACAACTACGTACAAGAGATCTATGTGGGAGGTGTCTAGATGTGGAAGAAGGTGATCTCATATGTGGGATCAACTCCTCAGGGAAAATGATATCCTCAGCGAATGTGATCTTCTCAATGGAGGTGATACTGGACGGCACTTCTAAAAAATGATCATTTTAAATGAATTACTTAATTAAAAAATCAAAACCATAATCAACAAATTATATTCAATTAGTATACTCTATCTTGATCCACGACAAACTCAGGCATCTGATCGTCTGGCATAGCTGGAACAGACAGTTCACACAAGATAGCTTTGACCCTCCTCCTAGATTGATGGTATCAACTTAGTAAGGATTTCAAGCTAAAATATTGACATTTCACCGAGTTAATGACCATTTATCGAGATTTTGAAAGAACATACAACATAAATCGCAAATGTGTAATACGTATCTTAGAATCGTCGAAGAGAGCTGATAATTGTTTAGGAAGTGACTTGTCTCATGCTCGCCAATGATGCATCCGAGGACAACATGTCTCCCCTCTCCTCGCATACCGGCCAGCTAAGGTGTGGACAGTCTCATACACTCATATATGCAACAATTACAATTATTATATATAAAATTTATTTAAAAAGTAGATAGTTTATTATATTAATCATTTACTTGCAAAGCCAACTGCAAGTCATGTGCCTCGTACTTGCGCTTGGGTCTATCCCCCTAGGCATAGAATATCCCTCTGGAAGACGCGTAAAGTATCCACATAACATCTCTACTCCCATGAATAGTTGTTGAACGTATTAATGTCATCAACAACTTTCAAATGGACAACATCAATTGACGTCTTCTTGTAATGACACCTAAGCACGCTCTCGAAGATAAACACCAAGCTCAGCTTCAACTTGTTGAACATCTGGTCACATTCCCTGATGCATCTCCTAACTCCACCAGAGTTACAGTCGTATGTCCATGAAAGTTATTTAGCAGCATCATGTTTCTCGAAATACGAGCCCTTGCTACTAATTTTCCCATACATCTCAATTCGATGATGAAAATAAACTCGAATATAGAAAATGTAAATACCTTGCCCCCAAGATCAAAATGAGGGGCATCTCCGTCAACAAGTTTAAGTAGTTGACATAGCAATGCATCTAGCAACTGTTCAAAGAACTGTATGTTGCACAACAAATACAAGGGCTATAAGCAGAATCGATGTAATATGTCTGTGTGCTCCTCATCGAACAAATCTAGTACCATAGTAAAGCTGGCAAAGTTACAATTCAACATAACTTTTTCAAGAATATGTCAAACGGCGACATCCAAGTGGTATTATATACTGTAAAATTTCAAATGTTAGAACATTTTGCAAGATACAATGGATAATGTATAATAATAGAAAATTAAACTAACCGAACTGTAACTACTATACGCAAGAATTAAGATATAATGAAGACAGATCAAAAAACATTTGACTGGAGTTCTTGTTTGGCACAAGGTAAAACTTGACCTTCAATAATCACTCCAAAACTCAAAATAATCATCTTTTTCACCTTCCCCAAATCCCCAGCTCGTGCAGCTAGATGAAGGGGTGAATCCCCCGTTTCCCACGAATCCTTGCTCCTTTGCCTCTCTCCAACAAAACTTATGTCTCTCCATTGCAATCCTAAAGCTCTTCTGCCTTTCCATTAAAACCCTAACGCTTGTCTACTTCTCCATTGCCCCCCTATGAAAACTTTGTTGTTTTCTCTTTTTTGACCGATAACTACTCTATTTTTCCGTTATCACATAGAAATCTCGAAAAATTCAAAATAACAAACTTCTTAGCTAATGAAAATCCTAAACCTTTTTATTGGAGGCAACTGATGATAAAAACTTAGACATCAAAACAGATTCGGGATGGCAGGACTGCACTCCCCTCAACAGTCACACTTGACAAAAAATTTTGTCAACCGAGGACCACGACAAGTCACACATTGATAAAAATTCCATCAACCATGGACAACCACAAGAAACCCACACCTCAAAGGTTGAGTTATGTCTAGGTAAAAATGAGGATTCAGTAAAAGTCTACGAGGTAGGCTTTGATACTATGATAAACTTTTGACTGAATGATTTTCCCATTGGAATTTCTTATGTAATGCATGAGTACTATCAATCTAAACATGGTAAGTGTAATTACAACCTAGATATAATTAAATGCAGAATTATATTAAACAAGCAATATTTAGTAAGTTGTAATCTTCGATAATTTTCGTAATCCTCATCAATCTCTATCGATCTCATTGACATGGGGGAGGATAATTTAACTATAGGCAGAAAAATCATAGCAATATTTGGCTATTATGGTACCTGAGCAACTTTGAACAGCTCATCTAAGCCTTCAAGATTTAGATGTGCATTGTGCAAGAGGTCATATCTGTCATATATCATGAAAAAAAAAAAAAAAAAAATATTACAGCCATAGCAGCAGCAATGATCTGGCCTTCTTAAATCTACGATGATAAAGATAATTGAAAAGCCAAGTGCCAATATCCCAACTTCAGTGAAAAAGATGCAGCAAAATCAATTTTACTTTTCGGATTCCCAGTTCAGCTCTTTGAGAAGGTGCAGCAAATTAGAGGTCAATCTACAAGATCTTTCCAAACAGTAAGGCACTCAAGTCCCACTAGCTCTATATTCCAAGGACAACTAATTTCAAGTTCATAATTCGTTTTTCTAAATGGCCTGTCCTAACAGAAGTAAATTCCACGTGAAAGGGTGTATACCTACCCTCCCACACAACCACCCAATGAAATCCAGAAGAAGCCGAAGGAAATAAAAGGATGGCTACATGTACAAAAATTTAAGCACATTTTACAAGACCATCACTACAATATTCATTCAGTGTAACAAACATTTTCACAAAGGATGTTGAGGACTAATAGTAGACATGATTAAGAAACACAGAAAAAGGTTTTGTTAAACTAACTCGAGTAGATTTCTTACTTGCAAGAGTCGTAAACGTCAGGAATTTGTGTTATATCAAACCGCCTGCAATTGAGCACTATGCTAGTCAAATTTCCGACATAAGGAAACACCAGAGAAACCCATTTAATATGGATTGCAACCATTATAGGTCCCGTTTGTTTCTCATTTTTTGAAGAATGAGAATGAAAATTATAGCCATTATGGACCCCACGCAAGAGATAAAAATTCAAATTTAGTGGCTTGATATGATGGATAACGGTCATATTTTTCATTTTAATGAGAAAATAATGGGAAACAAACGGAGGCTATATTTTATCAGAGCAAAAAAGGAAAACATCATCAGAGAAAACCTCCTCTAACATTATGGCACCCTGATAAGGACACGGAAGACTTACTCTTTGCGTTCGTTATACAAATCTCTCTCAAGTTTTCTCCAACGAGCATACATGAGAAGAAATCCCTCACTACCACAAGGTAATCCAGCGGCAATCCGGTCAACATCTATATTTGTCTTACCAAGGGCTTTAGCTTGATCGTATGGAGGAATCACATCATATGAGTTGGTTTCAGCCAGTTCCTCATCTTCATCTTTGGCCAGATTTCTTACTTGATCAGTAACCTTCTTGGTCAATTTCACCTAATTGTGATAGCGATAACAAACATATGAAAACCAAGAACCGGATTATGAATTTAAGTTCCCCCCGCCCCCCAAAAAATAAATAAATAAATGTGTGTGTGTGTGTACATATATATGTGTATCATATATGGGGCTAATTATCGTTTTGGACGGAATCCATCCAAAAGGTCCATTTGCGTCAGTTATGAGAGGACTGGACCATTTAAGCTATATTTGCAAGGGTTTGGGACTATTTTCACCAATTTCCCATACTTAGACAAGGAAAAGGCTTCTTGGTTTTCCGAATTGCGGAGTCAACGATGGAGTATTAAGAGATATCGTGATAACATGTTATGAATTCAAGAGAAGAGAATAGAATAGAGAGTTAACAAACTTTTCTATATTTTATTGGGAATCAAATTAGTTACATTATGTAAAAATTTGACCACATGGATACACTAGTCATTCACATATTATTAATAATTAATTTACACCATTTAAAAACTTATACAAATATATCAATTGGACTTTACCTTATTTTTATAAATAAGTGAATTCGAACCCGAAATAAAAAGTCTAAATGCATGACCACCCAAATTAATTATGTGTTAATTAAGACTTTAGGGTTTTAGATTAACAATGTTTATGGGCCATTATATAGCCCAAATCCATTGTGGGCTTCCCATTAATTTCCTACCCGTTTTTAATATTATATAGAGTAAAATTCATAATTAAGAAGAGTGTCACACATTTCAAAACTAAGAATAAATGTTTCAAATTTCAAAAATTAGATATTTATATTAACTTATTTATGATTTAATTAATTAAATGTATTAAGGTCGTAGATTTATACAATTTGGTCAAAAATTAATGATTAGTTTCGTCACATATAATTTTTCGGTCATAAATCAAAATTTTTATGTCACAACTTATTTTACGATCACAAATTTAAAAATTTTATAGATCACAATTTATTCATTGATCACAAATAAAATTTGTAAGTGACAATTTATTTATCAATAACAAATCACAAATATTATAATTCACAACTTATTATACAGCAAAAAAATTATTAAATTATCGATCATAAATCAACATTTTTTTAGTTCACACATTATTATTTTTTTTTTGTCACAATTTATCCTTCGATTGGTCACATATTATTTATTGATCACAGATTAACCAATTTAAAGGTCACAATCAACAAATAATTTGTAACCACCACCGACACAGTCACCACCATCAATCCACAGCCACAACCACACTCATCCATAGTCGCCAAAACCACCACCACCTCCCGACAGTAAAACCATTATCTCAAACATCACAGCCAACATCATTACCACCACTACCACCTCCACCATCGCCACCTACAAGATCTACTACCACTGCCACCAACAAACACACAGCCACAATCAGATCCAACTTACCTCCGCCACCATTGGATCCAACAAAGCTATCGCCACCCAAACACGATCTCCACGAGCAACACCATAATCCCTACCCAACAACTGAAAATACACCCCAAAAATTGAGATTTTGAACCACATGCCACCAAAAATTATCCCACCACCAGCACCACCAATGTAGCCAACATCAACCACCACCATCCAAACCCACCCAAAAAATAAGATCCAAATCTAAAATCAAAGTCGCGTACCGATGACGACGAGTGATACTGAGAAGCATCACCACTACTCCAATAAACTACCACCTGCACCACTCCCACCTCACCATCTCCACTAGCACCACCATTATTCCAACAAACCACACATTATCGACTTCCATACACAAAACTCACATAGATTAACACACATACACCATAGATCACCACCTCTACCACCTGCACCAACAACCATTACCACCACCCACGTCGCACCAACACAACAATAAAGAACATGAAGATGAAATAGAGGTAGATTAGAAATAAAGCCATCTCTGAGGTTTCACAATGATGATAGGTGCTTCTACACATGGCGACGCTACACTGTCGTCAAACAGCGTCGTTACGTTATATCGATCTATGAAGACAGTCGTGCTTTTAGAGAGAGAAATGAATAGTAGATGGAAAATGAATTAGGTTTGAATGGCAGTTTACAAATATTGATTTCAATTAATTAGGGTAGACGAGAGAATGGAGAAAGACTATAAGGGGGAAATGGATATAAAATTAATTTTTAATGATAATATATTTATCTAATAATAATATATTAATTAAAAAAATATCTAATTTTTGAAATAGTAAACTTAGTATATGATTTATGAAATGGGATCTTAGAAAGTAGGTTTCTATGTAATTTTCATTGTAATATAACGATTATTTAGTATATCTAAATTGATTGTCTACTATAATTATAACATAAAACTAGTCCTAACCAACATGATAATTTTGTTAGTCTTGTATAATTTTTATCTTTCCTTCTTATTCAAAGATTGATAAGTCATAAGAACTTCAATATTTGTATTTGACAAACCATTGACATATCTTCCAAATATATATTAAATAAACATAATATAGTCAAGAATATAAAGTTCTATAAATTATTTTCAGTACTTATCTGAAATCAGAGAACATAATTAGGAATATTCTTATTCCAAAGCGCATATGCTGAGGTTGCCAAACTTGTTGAATTTTCATTCATAAATGTTCAATATTGTTACACAAACTCATGACCGAATCAACTTTGTTTATTTCCAAAAGCTTCATCTTCCATCCAATCACGGCTCATTTCATTTAAAACATCCAAATTATCAATTCCAAAATCTACAACTGAGAAATCTTCAAAGGATTCTTACGAGGAACCCAATATCCCAACCTCCTCCAATTTTAGAACCATAGCTCTTTTGGTATGAAATATTGGAGAAATCAAATTCAGAAAGACTTTTGGTTAAAAGTACTTATAAAACATATTTCTCTTACATCAAAAATAACGAAGTACATGATAATTTATATTGACTATGAAACCTTCAATTAAATTTTATTAAACCGCAAACACATACATTCTTCTTTAGACATACCGCTCTTTTAAGTACATCGACGAATCGAGTAAGTATAGTATATGATAAATAAATAAATGTAGGAAAATAGAATGTAACTTATCAATTGAATTAGAAGAATTCAGTTAAACGATTATATTACGAGTCAACCTAAAAAAAAAAAAAGACGTTACTCAGGGTAAAAATGTCCATAAAGTGATTCTCATCTCGTTTGATTTTGAATAAGCAATGATGATAAATAACATTATCCTTTAACTTTTAATATGTTATAAATCAAATACTTCCTAATATTCATTCTCAAAATTTCCTCCTATCATTCTATTCAAGGATCATTCGTTACATAGCGGTCGAGGTATTTTAAGGAAGAAAAATATGCGACACACCATATATCAATCTTCTAGTCCAGAAGTACCAAAAACGCCATAAAACAATAGATATGTGTATGCTACATGCTCCCAGAGTCAAAACGAGCACAACACAGTCAAGCACTTCGAAACCTTCATATTTGCAATCGAAAAGAGATGCATAGTAGATGATGAATATAGACAACCATATATATTATAAGCGGAATGAAACTTATTATAAAATAACATAGGTTAAAATCCTCTAGTAACAAGTACTCCAAATGTCATTTAGATCTCTCATAATAAACACAACCTTTTGCTTGAAAACTTTACTATAGTGGAATAATCAATGGGAACCCTTTAGCCCATAGTGTATGAAGGAGTTGGCAAATTGATCACAGTGCTCTTCACCTTTGTCATCATGTTAATGCTGTTGGTGATTCCTTGTGAACCAATTCCACTGTCCTTAAGACCCTGTAATAAAACCAGGTTTTAAATGCTTAATGGCCAATAAGATGATAACATTCAAAGTTAATAACGAATGATTCGTTATTCTTTACAATAATTTTCCAATTTTATCTGAATTCTTGCATACCTGGAACGGAAAATGATCAGGACCACGTGCTGGAGCTGAGTTAATCTGAACCGTCCCAGTCTCCATGGCATCGCTTATCAGCAATGCCTTGTTGATATCTTTTGTGAAGACGCAGCCCTGTAACCATAAAGCATTTGATTATGGCAATATTTTAGTAAACCGGGGTTTCCCAGATTTCAGATAAACCAAGGTGAAAATTAAAAGCAATTAGCCAACAAAAATCAAACATCAAAAGGAATACTACTGTTGCCTTTTATGTAAGAAAACAGAAAAATATTTTCTGCAACAGACGAAAGACAATCAAAAAAAATTCCCAGCAACGATGTCGTTGTTATTAAGGCAGGTTGGTATTTACCTGGAGTCCAAAGTTGCTTGCATTGCAATGATGAATTCCTTCTTCAACAGAACCAATTCTTATAACTGGCAAGACTGGTCCAAATGGCTCCTCCCATGCTATTCTCATGTCGGGTCGCACATTGTCTAGCAGAAGTGGCCAGATGAGATTGCCATCTCTCTTGTACTCCTGGCAAAATGTTGCTCCCTTCTGTTTAGCATCATTAACCAGTCCCTCGATAAAGTTTGCAGATGATTCAGAAACAACTGGAGTGATATCAGAGTTATCCTCAGGTGGACCAACTTTCAATTTTGCAACCTTGGACTTCACTTTCTCGACAAGAGCGTCCGCAACAGATTCCATCACCAAGACAACTTTAACTGCAGTGCATCTTTGACCACTGTTACAGATGTGGACATCAAAATTATGCCTTAGTCACTTGCAATGATAAATTTTGCACAGTCATTCGTAACTTCACAATAAGGTTATCCCACCTCCCTTCCATAACGTGAATCACGCTATAGTCTCCAGCAAATTATCATTGGTACATCCACATAAATGTTGCATAGAATATACAAACTTTTCTGTTCTCCAATGCCCAGTTTGTCTCTATCGTTGCTTATTTTGGTTAATCTTTTGTGCACTTGTATACTTTTGGCATGAACAAATAGGTTCGATGTAAAGTTTTTTGAGCAATTCTATCCAGTGCACTAGGATTGCAGAAACTTCACACTTAAAAGAGTATATGAAAGATAATTCTTTTCCTTAATCTCAGAGGAGTTTTAA